TTTTTAATTCACGTTTCACTTTATCAAATGCTTTAGTGAATCAATATGCACAAGTACAGATCTCTGTTCATTTCAGTCACTCTTTCTGAAAGAGTTCTAAAGAGAAATATGGCGTTGTTTGCGCCTTTACCTTTAATAAATCAATACCGCTTTTCTCCAATTTCTGATATAATCTGAGGACAAATTAGACAACTTTAAAAAAAAAAAAAGGTAAACTATCGTTACCATACCGGGAATCGAACCTGTTACCTTCATGTTACAGATATTATGTGCGATGCTCTAGACAGATGGCTAGTCGTTCTACAGAGAGAGGTTGGATTATATTGGATCCTGCTGAAATAAAGTCAATCCTTTTGACTGTCACTAGACTTTATTTTTATTCGGTTGACACATCTAGTGTGGGAGTAGGCATTTGGCATTGCGTGTTTTAGGTCACAATCCTAGCAGACATGCACTGCTAAGGTGTCCGTATTTTTCCTGTTAAAACTGGCAACGACCAGTTTTATGTGTACATGTATATCCACACACACAATAAAAGTGTATATCTTGCAGTATCTGCAAAATTTAACAGTACCAAACACAAACATCATTGGATAAGGTTGTATCTTCTTACTATACCGTTATTTTCCCCTCTACCCGATTCATCAAATTTAGCATACGCTCTCAAAATCTACCACGGGCGTAACAGACTAGAGGGGACACAACTGACTAGAGGGGACACAACTGACTAGGGGAGACACCACTGACTAGAGGGGACACAATTGACTAGAGGAGTCACAACTGACTAGAGGGGACACAACTGACTAGAGGAGTCACAACTGATTATAGGGGACACAAGTGACTAGAGGAAACACACATGACTAAAGGAGACACAACTGATTAGAGGAGACACAACTGACTAGAGGAGACACAACTGACTAGAGGGGACACAACTGACTAGAGGAGACACATCTGACTAGAGGAGACACAAATGACTAGAGGAGACATACTTGACTAGAGGAGACACAACTGACTAGAGGAGACACAACTGACTAGAGGGGACACAAATGACTAGAGGAGACATACTTGACTAGAGGAGACACAACTGACTAGAGGAGACACAACTGACTAGAGGAGACACAAATGACTAGAGGAGACATACTTGACTAGAGGAGACACAACTGACTAGAGGAGACACAAATGACTACAGGAGACATACTTGACTAGAGGAGACATACTTGACTAGAGAAGACACAACTGACTAGAGGAGACACAACTGACTAGAAGGGACACAAATGATTTAGAGGAGACCTACTTGACTAGAGGAGATACAAATGACTAGAGGAGACACAACTGACTAGAGGAGACACAACTGACTAGAAGGGTCACATCTAACTAGAGGAGACACAACTGACTAGAGGAGACACAACTGACTAGAGGAGACACAACTGAATAGAGGAGACACAACTGACTAGAGGAGACACAACTGACTAGAGGAGACACAACTGACTAGAGGAGACACAACTGACTAGAGGAGACACAACCGACCAGAGGAGACACAACTGACTAGAGGAGACACAAATGACTAGAGGAGACACAACTTACTAGAAAGGACACAACTGACTAGAGGAGACACAACTGACTAGAGAAGACACAACTGACTAGAGGAGACACAACTGACTAGAGGAGACACAACTGACTAGAGGAGACACAACTGACTATGGGAGACACAACTGACTAGAGGAGACACAACTGACTAGAGGAGACACAACTGAATAGAGGGGACACAAATGATTTAGAGGAGACATAACTGACAAGAGGAGACACAACTGACAAGAGGAGACACAAATGACTAGAGGAGACACCACTGACTAGAGGAGACACAACTGACTAGAGGAGACACAACTGAATAGAGGAGACACAACTGAATAGAGGGGACACAAATGATTTAGAGGAGACACAACTGACTAGAGGAGTCACAACTGACCAGAGGAGACACAACTGACTAGAGGAGACACAACTGACTAGAGGAGACACAACTGACTAGAGGAGACACAACTGACTAGAAGGTACACAACTAACTAGAGGAGACACAACTGACTAGAGGAGACACAACTGACTAGAGGAGACACAACTGACTAGAGGAAACACAACTGACTAGAGGAGACACAACTGACTAGAAGGGACACAACTGAATAGAGGGGACACAACTAACTAGAGGAGACACAACTGACTAGAGGAGACACAACTGACTAGAGGAGACACAACTGACTAGAGGAGACACAACTGACTAGAGGAGACACAACTGACTAGAAGGGTCATATCTAACTATAGGAGACACAACTGACTAGAGGAGACACAACTGACTAGAGGAGACACAACTGAATAGAGGAGACACAACTGACTAGAGGAGACACAACTGACTAGAGGAGACACAACTGACTAGAGGAGACACAACTGACTAGAGGAGACACAACTGACTAGGGGAGACACAACTGACTAGAGGAGACACAACTGACTAGGGGAGACACAACTGACTAGAGGAGACACAACTGACTAGAGGAGACACAACTGAATAGAGGGGACACAAATGATTTAGAGGAGACACAACTGACTAGAGGAGACATAACTGACAAGAGGAGACACAAATGACTAGAGGAGACACCACTGACTAGAGGAGACACAACTGACTAGAGGAGACACAACTGACTAGATGAGACACAACTGACTAGAGGAGACACAACTGACTAGAGGAGACACAACTGAATAGAGGAGACACAACTGAATAGAGGGGACACAACTGACGAGAGGAGTCACAACTGACTAGAGGAGTCACAACTGACTAGAGGAGACACAACTGACTAGAGGAGACACAACTGACTAGAGGAGACACAACTGACTATAGGAGACACAACTGACCAGAGGAGACACAACTGACTAGAGGAGACACAACTGACTAGAGGAGACACAACTGACTAGAGGAGACACAACTGACTAGAGGAGACACAACTGACTAGAAGGTACACAACTAACTAGAGGAGACACAACTGACTAGAGGAGACACAACTGACTAGAGGAGACACAACTGACTAGAGGAAACACAACTGACTAGAGGAGACACAACTGACTAGAAGGGACACAACTGAATAGACGGGACACAACTAACTAGAGGAGACACAACTGACTAGAGGAGACACAACTGACTAGAGGAGACACAACTGACTAGAGGAGACACAACTGACTAGAGGAGACACAACTGACTAGAGGAGACACAACTGACTAGAGGAGACACTGATAGAGTGAGAATCTGACATGAGCTAATTCTAGAAACCCAGTTCGGTCTCGAAAATGATGATGTTCAACCCTACCAGGACATTACAGCGAGCGAAAAACACCTAGTGACACAAAGTGCCACCTTTTTTTATGAGCATCACCTGGGGGCAGGGTTCCAGAAGCCCCGTTCTACACATAGGTTGGGTTATATTACGGTCCCCAGCAACAGCTAGGGTCTGGCTTTAAAGCTACAAAAATTTGCATCCTACATGGGGACGCATTGTCTTATAAAATACTAAAATAATATAGTTCAATCTCAACCATTATCATCATCATCATCATGTAGCAGGTCCTTTGCAGAACGTCGCTGTCATCACTCGGTTTCTCGCCAGCTCTGCCGTCTCATGCACTTTCATACTCAAGGTGTCACTTATATCTTGTGCCTATCTTTGTGTTGGTCGGCCCCTGTCCCTCCTTCCTGGTACCATGCCTTCTGCTGTGGGTTTTTTCCCAATCCTTCGTGGCGCTTGATGTGACCAAAATATGTTAGCTTCCGAGACAGGCTTAAAAAATTTTCCTTGATGTTCAGATTTTTTTAAGATGTCAGTATTTCTCCTCTTCTTTGTCCAAGATATTCTGATAATCTTTTTATAGAATTTGAGCTCAAATGCCCTATTCTCTTTTTTAAGGACTGTGAGATAGTCAGAGGGATCGCCAAACACCATCAAAAAACACATTTCTCAAACTCATGAAGTAGCAACGAAAATAACTGTATGGTTGGGAGGTCGGTACAACATGAAGAACTGTATTAAAGGGTCGCAGTATTGGCAAGGTTGAGAACCACTGCTCTACACCTTCACGGCAGGTCAATAGCCAGAGGCTGACTGACTCACTGACTTTCTACCCCGCCAGGACATCACACAAGCGATAAACAACCGATGACACAAAGTGCCACCATGCGGGTGAGGATAACCATGGAGAGGTCCCAGAAACCGCGTTCAGACAATTGGCCATATCTATGGCCTGCCTATATTGCGGCCCCTGGCAAAAGCCAGAGTGGGGCTTCACATAACAAAAAATTTCGTCCTAAAAAGGACGAAAGTAGTAAATTTTCAAGCCAGAGGCTACCAGCGTGTACTGGATCGCAAATTTGTCCTCCTAACGACGCTTGACGGCAGAACCTGGTTTATGTTGATGATACAGTTGTTGAATCACTCACAGAGCATGTTGAGAAAGGTGGAGACAGGCATCCTCCCTCCAGAGTCGCAAGCATCACTTCAAAGGTTCTGGGTAGTTAGCGTTCTTTGGATATAATTTTCCAGGCCATGCCGGTGTGTTGGGAAATGAGCAGGCAGATAGATTAGCCGTTTCTGCACCACTTGGGGGTGAACAGACGTGTGACAAGCTGGATGTTGTGAGGGTCCTTTGGGAGGCAGAGAACAGTGCCGAGGGACAGATAGATCATTACGGTCTGAGGAGAATGGCCCTGGGAGGAGTTACAAGGGGATCTGGCCGTCGCTTGACACTCAGGAGAGACGGATATACAATCAGACAGTTAGTAGTACCATCGGAATTTCAACTCTTTGCTTGCTGCTTAAGTCGCTTGCTGCTAAAGATGGGAACGGAGCGCTTGTGGGGGTATCCCGAGTGCTGTGATGTCGATTCTTAATTCAACGTTCAACAATTTTGAAATCAACATGATTTGATCATATTATCTATTGTATACCCATTATCTTGAATGTTTGCAGTATTTATACCTCTGGCCCTACTGCATGCTCTGGGAAAGCCGGCAGCAAATGGATTTTGGTGCCATGACAAGTCCCTTGGGTATCCTTACAGGCCGGACACAGTCTCCATGCCAATGTTGATGGTGCTTACTTTTGGAGCTCCGTTTTTAGTGGTAAGTTGTTTTGTTATTTATTTATGCTTAATTATAATGAACAGAGAACAACAACAACAACAAAATAGGAAAATTAAAACATGAAGAAAGACATTGATTGTGTGTGTGTGGGGAGGGGGCGGGGTGTGGGGGAGCTACTATTCCCACAAATTAAAATAAACACCAAATATATATATATATATATATATATATATATATATATATATATATATATATATATATATATATATATATATACACATATACAAGGTTACAAGGTCCGATAATTAAGTAATAAGACCGATTTTCTTACGGCCAAGACAAAAGTGCCATCTATGAAGCAAAGCATGAAATCCAAAGAGGCAACCTTCATCTGAGATCTGGCAACTTTGTATCGCCGCCTGATGAGCAAAGGACAAACAAGCCACCATTTTATTGACCTAATTAGATGTTCATTGTTACGAAATCAGCATGGAGGGAAAAGCTAACATTAAATTCTGTTTAAAACTCAAAACAAAAGTGCTTTTGAGACAGTTTAATTGATGTCACAAGTTGACTAGGATAATTGTTTTTCTGGTGCAGAGATTTTCAGTTGGTATTCACGATTCAAAAGTGATGTAGAAATGATTACTAATGCAACTAGACCTTGACGCCCAATTTCTATTTGTAATAATGAACTCCTTGCAAAAGTCACAGAACGGATGCAAGAAGGTCGTTGTTTAACTGTCAGGGTGATGGCAGATGAATCTGGTGTTTATAGAGAGACCCTTCGTAAAATTTAAGTGCAAGATTTTGACAAGAAAAAAGTTGCTTGCGGGTTTGTACCACATTCGCTGTCTGATGACCCAAAACATCAGCGGGTTGAGTACCCACGAGAAATCATCAGAACAGGAATTTTTGGCCCCAAAATAAGTGTGTGTTTTCAACCATCCACCATATCTCCCAGATTTGCCTCCCTGTGATTATTTTCTATTCCTAAAACTAAAGTTGCCATTGAAAGGACACTTCTTTGATGGTATTGATGACATCCAAAGGGCTGTAACATCGACTTTGAGGGCCATAACAACAAAAGAACTACAGAGTTTGTTCCAGTGTTTCTTAGATCGGGCTACTCACTGTATCAATGCACAAGGGGCTCACTTTGAATAAAATACAGGTTATATCTTCAACTGTTGATTATTTCAATTTTTATGGAATTAGTCTCATTACCTAATTGTCGGACCTTGTGTGTGTGTGTGTGTGTGTGTGTGTGTGTGTGTGTGTGTGTGTGTGTGTGTGTGTGTGTGTGTGTGTGTGTGGAGAAGACAGGAAAATTTTAAAAGAAGTCATGAAATTAAAAAAAAAAAGACGAAATAACTAATTTGTTTTTCTATTGCGTTTTACACACACATACACGCGAGTGTATATTAGTGTTTATTAGTAATATTAGTGTGTACATATATTATAATTTCTGAACATAGACTTCGTGACCCAGACAGGAGATGCAGTTGTTTATTCGGGAAAGCAAAAAATTGTGGTTTGGGCGGGCTGGGTTTTGTTACCATCGCTTCTTGGAAACAATCCGATCAGCGACCGAATTTTTACTGTCAGACTTAGGTCAATGAAAATGAACATCACAATTAGTCAAGTGTATGCACCAACATCTGCATCAGAGGAAGATGAAATTCAGCATTTTTGTTTCAGTTTAAAAGCGCTGAGTTGACCTGAGTGAAGAATTGACATCACAGCAGCATTCGGGGCATTACCATGCGTGCTCAGTCCTCATCTTTATCAGCCAGTGCAGAGTTCCAGTACTGATGGTACCGGTCACAATCTGCTTATGTGTCCGTCTTGCCTTTCTTCTGAGTTTAGTGAGCCGGCTAGACCTTCTAGTTACACCCAGGTGCCTCATTCTCTCCCGGCCATAATAATCTTGTTTCTCTACTGATTCCTTTGCTTGTTCCCAAAGGACCTTGACCACATCTGTCTTGTCATGTATCAGTTCACCACCCAGTGGTGCAGATCCAGCCAATCTGTCTGACTGTCCATCACCCACTACGCCGCCATACCGTGAAGAAAAGATCCAAAGTATCAGTCTAAAAGAGACACTGGAAAGGGTAGAAAAACGAGACATCGTAATCATCAGGGATTTTTACGCGAAAATTGGTGGCGGTAGAATAGAAAAAGAGGAAACAGTCAGAGACTCATTCATAATAGGAGATAGAATCCAGAGAGGAGTGAGGCTAGTCGAATTCCGAATAGAAGAAAATATGTCTATTTCCAACACACGATTTAAACAAACATCCAAGAAGGCTCTACACCTGGACTTCACCAGATGGAAATAGCAGGAACCAAACTGATTATATTTTAATCCAGTAAAAATGGAGGACATGTATATAATCTGCAAGGACACTCCTTGGAGCTGAGTGTTACAATGATCGTAAATTTCTTGCTGCAGATTTTTAAATTAAATTGAAAACAAAAGTATTCAAATGTACAAAGCCACTATGTTTTGATTTAACAGATATACCAAGTGATTTTAACATTAAGGTTAAAAACAAATTTGAGGCCCTCGTGGCATTGCGGATGGACATAACACCTGATGAGTTAGCCGATAAAGCAAGAAAGATCATTTCAACAGCTCAATACATGATCCCTTTAAAAAAACGACACTAAAAGCAGTTTTACATAGCAGAAAAAACATTTAAGCTGATAGAAGAAAGAATAAATTTAAACATAAACAAATGGCCATACATATAGGAACCATACGAAAGAAAACAGAAGAGCAATTAAAGACGGTAAGAAACAGATTACACTGAATACCTGTAAGAGAATAGGGCAGCTCCAGGTGCAAGGAAAGGGCAGAGACATGTTTAAAGAAATTCAAATATTAAAAAGTGAATTCAGGCCATAATTTCATGTAATAAATGATAAAAATGATAACGCATTAACATAAATCAAAGACATATTAAGAAGATGGAAAGAATATTGTAGAGAAATGTATGAAAATATGACAAGTAATTCAGAAACAGCTTATGAAAATTATTATAAAGAATCAGAGCCTTTGCTAGATGAGGTACGATCAGAAAAATACAGTCTGAAGAAACGAAAGTCACCAGGTCGCGATGAAATACCAGCAGAACTAATTAAGGTGGGAGGAGAGAGCCAGGGTCCGAATCTACCATGCACTGTGTGCTAAGATCTCTGGAACAGTGGCATTTGGTCTAAAGCATGGAAAAGAACAATCTGCATCCCTCTTCTAAAGAAAGGAAATCTGAAACTATGCTCCAACTACCGTACCATCGCATTAATAAGTCATGCTTATGAATTGTGAAGAGGATTGAAAGAAAACTACAAAAACGAGCTACATTGAAGTACAGCTGTTTTCAAGTCATGTTGAGGACCTAGGATTCACACCTGTAATATGAGAATAATCTTAAAAAAATACAGTGATTACGACGTTAACCTCCTGTCTTGCTTGATTGAATATGGCAAGACCTGTGATTGTATCTAACTTCAGAAATTGTGGAATATCATGAGTATGGAGTTTCCAGCACATTTGGTGCAATGAAATGAATATTTATTACATGAACAACAAGCAGCCATCAGAACAGCTGGAAACATCGGACTGGTTCCAGAGGCAAAGTGAGGCAGGGGTGCTTCTCTCACAATACCTATTCAATATAAATATGCAGAAAACATAGTGAGAAATGTCAAAAGTGACCAGACTTGTGACAGTTATGATAGGAACCATTCATAATTGGTGGCAACCCTGTTCCGGAACATCGCTGCGCTAGACGACACAGTCCTACTTTCGAGCACTGTAAAGAGGATGAAAAATGTAATCGTGTCTGTCCGGCATGGTACCAAGAAGAGGGGGAGGGGGGGGGGGAAGAGCAATGGCCGACCAACCCTAACTTGGGCGCAAGATAGATATATGTGACTCCTTGAATATGAAAGTAAACTAGGCGGGAGAGCTGGCGAGAGACCGTTTCTTTCAGACAGACTGATATTAGAGCGACGTTCTGCAAAGGACCTGCTACACGATGTGTACATTAGTGTGTACTGGTTTCCATACGGGGTGCAGGGCTGGTGGGGATGTAGCTGACTGCAGTGTATATTAAATATAGTAGTAATTAAAGTAACTGAAAATATATATTGAATTTGTGAATGTTTAAAAATTAAAATATTCGAAATCAAATAAGAAATATGTTCTAGAATGTAGAAAGAAAAATAATACTTTGATTAAAACTAGATTCATCTATGTCAGAAAATTGATCTTTTGTTTTGCTTTTTTAAAGTTCTTTTAATTTTTTTAACTGATTATAAAAATGGAGGTATTGCAACGTGGCACATCTCTTCTAGGACGTACAAAGTTGGCTTTCTTCCCAAACTTGAAATCGAAAATTATTGCATCTGGTGGATTTTTATGCTGTAGTTTTTATAATGTTTTAAACGTGCAGTCATCTTCGTCAGTCTCGTCATCGTCTGTTGGGAGTAGTAAGTGTTACTCGGTGCTCGTACTGGAGCCACCTTGGTGTAGAGGTCAGTACTAGCCTGCGGATCGGAAGGTGGTGGAATCGGGTCCCGACGGATCCGTTTTTTTTTTTTTCTTTTTCTTAAAATGACCTTAATTCCCAGGTCTTGTGTGGGTACCAGATAAAGTCGGAGGGAGGTTACGGCGACTGGTGTGATGTTAATCGAGTGTTGATTGGTCTGTAAAATATATGTCTAGCCCTATATGCCCAATACGCATAAAGGCGTGGAAAAAGATATTCTACTCAGTGCTCGTATGCCTCCATTCCGTGCTGTCCTGTACACTTCTTTACGCCTTCACTTGCTGTATACTCATGACTTTTGCATGCACATCAGTTTGACATATCTGTTTTATTTGTTTCGCTTCTTGAGCAGACGAACTATGACCTCCAAGGAAACACCTTTAATTAGTCCAATTTTACGACATGCCTGTTAGGGGGCCGTGGATCTGATATCCCTCCTCCCCAAATCCCCCCCCCCCGCCCTCCACCTCGTTCCTCGGCCTCACGTCCTCACATTTGCTTTCAGATGGCGGTGATAGAAACCATACGAGCGGCCTACAGGGCCAGGTTGTTCCGGCAGTTTCGAGCAGAAATTCAAAGTCTGGGCAAAGCTTACGGCGTCTTCCTCTTCGGCATGGCTGCCAGTTGTATCTTCACAGAATCGCTCAAGTACTCCGTCGGCAGACTTCGACCAAACTTTTTGGACATTTGCAGACCAGACTTCGATAAACTCAACTGTACAACAGACACGTCTTCAGACAGGTAATTGTCTGTCTTAATGGTGTGACTGGATTAAATCCCTCAAAACCAAGTTTATTTTATTTCACAGGGTGCCACATACGTTTTTATACATAGGCAAAATAAATGGGGGTTTTTTTTTTTAAACTAAAACTATTTTATTTCATACAAAAACTAAATTAAATTTCCCAGCTTCGCCCGGGATAGTGAAAGAAAGTCTATTTCTCACGATCTTTAACTGATCTTGTTCCTCTCGCCGCCCTATATGAAGGAAATGTAGTGGAAATAGGAGTCTAACTTAAACACTGTATTTAACATCCCGTCTCCTACTACATCTTTGTCTCCACCCTTGCCGTATCTTTAGTCATTGTCCCTAAGTGCATTCGAGGCATCCACTGTGAAACTAACACCAGTATTTAACAATTTTGGAGACAGACACATGTATTGTCTCATACAAATTCAGATGTATGGTTTCTAGGAAGATAGCAGCGAAATATAATTTTTTTAAATTATCTTTTCAAGGGAAGTAATAGGGGAAAAGTCAGAGAGATATAACTACAGCGAAAGTTTAGTTTAGAAATGCACAGTAACCCAGGCTGCCAATATAACTGACTGGTAAATTAAAGATTGTAGTTTAAATAGTCTATGAAAACTTAACCCGTGTATTGGTCATGGTTCTTGATGAGTTAGCACTTCATTTATAATAAACACACGAAATACTGAAAGGGTTTGTGATTTGTAGTATAGACGGACGGACTTTCTACCCCACCAGGACATCACACAAGCGATAAACACCAGATGACACAAAGTGCCACCATGTGGATGAGGATCGCCGTGGAGAGGTCCCAGAAACCGCGTTCAGACAATTGGCCATATTTATGGCCTGCCTATATTGCGGCCCCTGGCAAAAGCCAGGATGGGGCTTCAAATAACAAAACATTTCGTCCTAAAAAGGACGTAAGGATGTAGTATAGATGCTTTACATGACTACCATTGTATTGTATAAAGTCATCACCATGTGGGATGCAATTTTGTGTTATTTGAAGCCCCATCCTGGCTTCTGTCGGGGGTCCTGAATATAGCCAGGCCATAGATATAGCCATAACGGCTGAAAGGGGTTTCTGGGACCTCTCCACGGGTGATCCTCTTCCCGCATGGTGGCACTTTGTTTCACCAGGTGTTTATCGCTTGTATGATGTCCTGGTGAGGCACACCTACCTACCTACGTACTATTGTATTGTTAAAATGATGTTGAATGATTGATTGTTATCTTGTCATCCTCTTGTGGAATGCAATTTTAGTTATTTTGAAGCCACACCCTGGGTTTTGCCGAGGGCCCTACAAATAGCCGGGCCTAAAATGTGTCCTGACGGCTAAACTGGGTTTCCTGAAACTCTCCACGGGTGGTCCTCATCAGCATGGTGGCACTTTGTGTCACCGGGTGTTTATCGCTTGTGTGATGTCCTGGGGTGGGGGGGGGGGGTACAACTTACGTACATACATACATTGTTTTGAATTATTACGCCATTCGTAATCGTCGTCCCCTTGTCGGATGCAATTGTTCGTTATTTTGAAGCACTACCCTGGCTGTTGCCGGGGGCCCTAATATAACTAACAGTTAAACGGGGTTTCCGGGACCTCTCCACGGGTGATCCTCATCCGCATGGTGGCACTTTTTGTCACCCGGTGTTTGTCGCTCTGTGTGATGCCCTGGTAGGGTTAAACTCACTTACATTGTACTGGAAACACATTTCAAAGCATGTACTCCACTATTGGAGAACACATAAAATCACAGCTGAAGTTATGTTTGCAATATGATGTGATATGGGAATTAGTCCAGCCTATGGAAACTTATGGAACACCGTGTGTGTCAGTTCAAGTTATTCTTGCTGTTTCGTTTTGATACGGGGCGTTTGCACTTAACCTATACCTCAGGCAGTATTGTGAACAGTAATTACCAGTAAAGTTAAAGTCGGGAGATGTGAACCAGCCTCATTGCACACGGCCATAAACCATAAGTGCTCTACCACCAGTACGGACAGCTGATAAGAAACTGTCCGCCTGTGTCGCCGTCCGCACGTAACTCCGTAGCTACAGCGACGTTTATTCATTTATCCCAGAGTGTTAACTCTGGTACCAATTTCCTAGAGTCTAGGTGAACCTCGGGAACTGCCCGGTTTCGAACACCGGCCGTAGACTGCAGCGAGTCGCAGCTGGATTTGAAAGCGAGTCTTATACTGACTGCGCTAACGCGGCTCATTATCAGTAATTGTTTTTATCAAGGCACAAGTTTTGGCCAGGAGAAACACCGGTGCAAGTCAAACTTTACGGGTCACCAAGTGAATTACAAAAGACAGTAACGTTCACACTAGAAACGATATTGCAGATATAGCTAATCTATTTCAAGCGAGGGAAAGAGAAAGCAGAAAAAATTGTTTTAACGCAGTGTTTCCCACACTAGTGTTGCCACTTTGGATCTTTTATATCCAAATTTAGATCTTTTTCATTGCATTTAGATACTGTTTTTGACGTTTCGATCGTAAAAAATTTTTCTAGATTCTTTTCATATGGAGTTAGATATTTTATAGATTTTTTTTTCTTTCATTGTCAATTTAATAATTACTGTGTAAAATATTTACTACAATATTTTTGTTTTGGTCTGGCACGTACATTGTGACAACTGCCATTACTTGAACTTTGAACTCTCACTGGGGTCAACGCACAAATATTTGGCAGCCCCGGCACTGATTAATAAAAACGAGCGTAAATCATACTAACTTTGTCATATACTAAAAGTGTTTAGTCCTTTTTAGGACGAAATTTTTTGTTATTTGAAGCCCCACCCTGGCTTTTGCCAGGGGCCGCAATATAGGCAGGCCTTTAAATGGCCAATTGTCTGAAAGCGGTTTCTGGGACCTCTCCACGGCGATCCTCATCCACATGGTGGCACTTTGTGTCATCGGGTGTTTATCGCTTGTGTGATGTCCTGGTGGGGTAGAAAGTCAGTCAGTCAGTCATACTAACTTTGTTTCAACCGTATCCTCACTGTGCTGACTTTGAATTTCTTTTTCATTTGATTTTTAAAAAAAAATAATTGCTCACCTTATTATGTGGCTTTCACTTTGAAAAAACCTTTCAACATGCCAAAAGTAAAGTATGAGCAAAAAATTTGGAAAGAGTGGTTGCATGATGACAAAATTAAAAACTGGGGATATGACCAAAGCTTGTTGTAAGTACTGCAAGTGTGAAATTAAAGCGAAAATACAAAACTTAAAGAGTCATGCAGACACTAAAAAAAGCATAAAACTGCAGTTTCATTTAGAAATATTACACCGCTGACATCTTTTTTCAGAACTATACTGATAAATGAATCATCAAAAGTTGAAGTATCAGTCGCAATGTTTTAAATTTGTCACTGCGCAATTTCAAACTGTGACCATTTGATCGATTTGTAAAAAATCTTGGATTAGTTCAATTTGAAAAGTGTGATGTAGAAAAGTATAGTTTAGGAACTAAAGGACCTTTTAATCAGCAAACAGTTAGGCTTGAAGAATTTGGCTGTAATTGGTACTGATTATGCCTCAGTGATGGTTAGTATAAACAATGGCGTTTATGCCAAGTTGAAGGAAGCTAACCCATCGTTAATACTCATAAAATGTATGCGTCATTCATTGCAGCTAGCATTATCACATGCTTCATCTAAATATTTACCAAGGAATTTGGAATACCTTATTTCTAAAACACTTTACTGGTTTTCCAAATCATTTGTCAGACAACAGTAATATATTATATACAGCCTTGAATGATGGTTCCACAACCACCGAAAATTCTGTCAGATTGCAAAACTAGATGGTTATCAATTTAACCAGCTGTTGAAAGAATTATAAAGCAATGGCTGAAGTTAAAGACACACTTTGAAATAACAAGACAAAGTGAAAAGTGCTACACATCTGAAATACTATATGAAATGTACAGTGATGAAAAAAAATGTGTCATTCATTCTCTTTTTATAACCTATTCTAATGGAAGTGCAAAAAGTTAATAAACTGTTCGAATCTAAACTTGTTGATAAAGTTAAATTACTTGATGATCTCACCTTGCTATTTCACTCGGTAAAAGACTGGTGTTGCCAACTTCTAAAGCTGATTTGTTCACTTGCACTATAGAGAGCTATTTGGCTCCTAAACCATACCTTGGATCGTATCAAAAATTGATGATTTAAAAACAAAAGGACTGTTAACAGAGAATGAAGAGAACAACTTAAGAAAACGCTGTCAAGATTTCCTTATCTAATTATTGAAGCAATTGAAGCAGAGGCTTCCTGAAAATCTAGATGTTTTGAAAAATATTTCACTTTTTTCCGTGAGCAACATACTTCAGCCAATAAAGGACATACCTAAATATTGTATAGTTATGAAATTTTTAGGGGCTACTGATAATAGTGTCGCAGAAGCAGAATATCAGTTAACCAAAATAAAGTTAGCTGAATGGACAAACAAAACAGAAACTAAAGCGTTTTGGAGTGAAGTGAGACAATTTAAAGATGCCTCATCAAACAGTCCATTCTGTAAGTTCTTTAAAGTGCCATGTCTGCCATGATACTACCCCACTCAAATGCTGAAGTAGAAAGAGTTTTCAGTGCTAGGAATTATATCAAATCTTACCTAAAAAAACAGGATGAAATGTGACCTCTTAAATGCTTTCGTGCCATTAAAATTCGGCCTGATGAGACTAGAGAAATAAGCCTACTTTTCCACTTATAAAGAAATTTGAACAGTTAAAGCATACCAGGGTCATTTTGGATCTGAAGCTTCAACTTCATATCCAAGCTAAGTTTATTCTGCGGATCTTGTGAGGCAGACATCAGTAAAGGTGAGGACATGATTATGTAGGGTAAGTCATGACAAAAGCTTTGTAATTTTTGACTTTTTCAATTTGGATGTTTTTTCTAGATCTTTTCCACGCAGATTTAGATCTTTTTAGATATTTTTTGACACCGTTTTGGATATTTTTTGATAAAGAAAAGTGGCAACACTGTCGCACACCTTTCTTAGTGGCGGCGCCTTTTTTTTTCGATGACAGTTTTTCGCGGCACCCTAACCTAAGTAAAAGTGTGACTATTCGTGCTTTGGTTAAATTAATTATAAAGCTTTTAAAATATTTCACGGCGCCCCAGTGAATAGGTCGTAGCTGCCCGGGTCGCCGCGGCGCACAGTTTGGGAATCACTGTTTTAACTTTTATTCCACAAAGAGTTCTCTTCCCTGTCATTTACAAAATATTAGCCGTCTCCGAAATGAAGGTTGGCTATAGTACGCCGCTTTTGTCGTTTGGAATATTACAGCGTGAACCCCAATCTCTTTCGCAGCGCAAATCCTATACAGTTGTCCAAAATCCAAGAATGCGGTGTTTGTTTCAATCTACAGCCGCTGGAAAAACAAACTCTAGAATTCGATGATCACGATTGAGAACCGCATTCGCTAACCAATTCGCCACTGAACCGCAATAATATTGTACTACTGTTAGTTGCGTATCCTTTACAGGACGTTGCAGAACCAACCCCAACAGCCCCTGGCTGTTGTGTTTGTTTTTTAGGCAAATTTACGTCCACTAGTTTGCCATTGCTGCCTGGGCGGTCGACTTTCTTGATACCACTGTCGAAACCAACGCAAGGCGCATGGCCTGCAGCTGGGATCGAACCCGGCATCCCAGCATTACGAAGCGTTAGCGTCGACTTAGCCACAGAGCCGACTGTACTACTATAAATAGTCATGAATTAAGTTTCTCATGTAACAGTTGTTCCTCTGGGCATATTATATAATAAACAGCTATTTTAAAAATATATCATATACAGTTGTCACACTTTGGCTTTTATCATAAGCAATTATTACTGTAACTTTTTATGTCAAAAAATACATTACTTTAACTTCTTCTAACATAAACATTTACTTTGATGTGTCCTGTAATATAAATAATACTTATTGACACGCATTACTTAACTACCCTAACATTTTATTTTTTCCTTTTTAAAAAAAAATCTTACTCTGCTGAAAAAACAAACTAGGATTCGATGATCATGAATTAGTGAACCGCATTCGCTAAGCAATTCGCCACTGAACCGCTATAGTGTTGTACTACTATAAACAGTCATAAATTAGAGAACCGCATTCGCTAAGCAATTCGCCTCTGAACCGCAATAGTGTTGTACTATTTTAAACAGTCATAAATTTAACTTCTCTTGTAACAGTTATTACACAGGGCCTATTATATAATAAACAGCTATTTTAAAAATATATCATAAACGGTTGTCACTTTGGCTTCTAATATACACTTTTAAACAATTAGTTACTCCAGCATAAACATTTGTTACTTTGGCTTTTATCATAAACAGTTATTACTGTAACTTTTTATGTCATTTTACTTTGATGTGTCCCTATGATATAAATAATGCTAATTTTTAAAATAATATTGTACAGTCATAAATTTAACTTCTAAACTGTTGTGACTCTACATATTGTATAATAAACAGTTATTTTTAAAATATAAAATACACAGTTGTTACTTTTGCTTCTAACATAAACGGTCAAAACACTAATTTTTCTACCATTTCTAAAACTGTTTCTTCACCACAAACATTTGTTACTTTTACCTTCTATCATTCACAATTATTACTGTAACTTTTTGTGTCATAAAAATATATATATCTTTGATCATAAACAATTACTTTGATGTGTCCTATAAAAAATATAATCCCTATTGACCTGTCGTTATTTAATTACTATGGAACAATTTTAAAACCAAGTTACGTATTTCAAATTCTAATGATATTTCAGTTTTAATATACACCATTGACAGTTGGAGAGCCACTAAAGACATAGGATGAAACTTAAATGTTTAAAATAGAAATGCTAAAGAAATTTACGAATTTAAAATGTGACGAATGGTAAGAGAAAGTAGATGGCGCTATGCTGGGCCTTCTCTGGGAAGCTACGAGTGGAGAATCTACGAATGTGACATCCGTCCATCCATTTATGAAAACAAAACCCCAAAAATCGACCACCTTCAACCTACTACGAGCAGTATCGGCTATAATTGTGGTCTAGTTTCTCTGTGCCATATATGTTGGCTAATTGCACCCCACAAAAAATGGCTTGGGCCAATACTCTAGTAACTGATAGTTTTTGGGTAGGGGCTGGTATGCACCATAGATATAAATATATACACACACATAGACATACATATATACACACACATAGACATACATATATACACACACATAGACATACATATATACACACACATAGACATACATATATACACACACATAGACATACATACATACACACACATAGACATACATATATAAAAACAATATATATATACACACGTGTGCACACCCACAACGGAATGCATACTTGCATAAACACACAAAATATGTAGATACGCACATACGTTGAAAGAAGCCGCTGTCGTGTAGCGACACAGAATGCCATAAGTTCAGATCACAACGGATCCGGACCTTCTGTTTTTTGTTTAAACATGACCCTATCCTCCAGGTCTACCCAGCCATAAATGGGTACTAGTCTTGTATATTATATACCTAATAGTTTTGTCTTTTTCATATTATTTGCACTTTGATTACCAGTTTTGGTCTTTTGGTTTGTATAAATATATGTATATGTACATACATACATACATACACACACACACACACACTATAAGGTGATATTTAGGCAGTCTTGTCTTATTTTGGGTTGTTTTATACAATTTAATTCCTTCTCTTTTATTTCTTACCTTCCACAATTCCATTTACTCACCTCAACGTCTCTATCTTATTATATCTTTATCTATAGAGACTTATATTTGTACGTGTCCTGCAAATGATTTTTTTTGTTTCTGTAAGTTCCTATTTGTGAATCCTGGACAATCGGTAGGCAGGCCAAACAATTTTTAGAGGCCTCAGAGATGTGGTTTTACAGAAGAATGCTTAGAATACCTTGGACAGCCAAAAAGAGCAACCAAGAGGTTTTGAAAGAGGCGGGAGACCGAAGACAACTTATCACTGACATCAGAGGGAGACAGTCATCATTTTTCGGCCATGTTATGAGAAGAGGGAAAATAGAACATGTTGTGACCACTGGAAAGATCTGTGGAAGGAGGGATAGAGGAAGACAACGAGAGAAGATGCTTGACAGTCTTGTTGCATGGCATGGAGGTGTGTCGGCACACGAACTGATACATGCTGCAGGAGATCGCGGATTATGGAGAGGCATGATCGCCCACGCCAGTCGGCAAGGCACCTGATGATGATGATGATGTTCCTATTGCTATCAACATGTAAGGATTCCTTACATGTCAGTGACTTACTTAGTTTTTGAAAACAGTCTTCTAGGGGTTTTCTTCCCTGTTTGTATAGGGTGGATGTTAGCAGGAAGTGGTCTTTTGTTTTTTCTTGAAAGAGATCTAGACATAGGAGTGTTGTAAATGCTAATAACTTATCCATCTTTTTATGAAAACAAAACAAAAAATCTACCCTGTATATATATATATATATATATATATATATATATATATATATATATATATATATATATATATATATATATATATATATATATACACACACACACTCACACAAACGTGTGCACATCATGTGGGAATGCATTTGTACGTATTACACACACACACACACACACACACATGTATATGAATATACACACATACACTCAAGGGAGTCGCCTTCCGGGTCGACCCAGCCTTGAGTGGGTACCAGGTACAAGACTTGGGAAGTAAAGGCGACCGGCGTAATGCTGACTGCATTACCGATTCATCAGTAAAATTTAGGTCTAGCCCTATATACCCAATAGCGTGAAGACGCGGAAAAGGGTCCATTACTTTGCTCACTACTCCCAATATTGTATTGTTACTAAACAAGGTTTTCCCCCCCCCCCCCCACCCCCTCCCCCCACCCCACCCAATTGTGTTATGAGAGCTGAGGTCTGCCTACCCCCGAAAACACTCCCATGAAAGCTTGTACTTTTTTTTTAACGGAAAAAGATGGCACATTTTCGTTTCCCTTTTACGTGAATTAATTGAATAACTGTATATACCTGACGGTCGGCTCTGTGGCTAAGTCGATGCGAGCGCTTCGTAATGCCAGGGTGCTGGGTTCGATCCCAGCTGCGGGCCATGCGCCTTGCGTTGGTTTTGACAGTGGTATCAGGGGGCCGACCGTCCAGGGGCAATAGCATAATACTGGACGTAAATGTGCCTAGAGAAACCACACAACAGCCAGTGGCTGCTGGGGTTGGTTCTGCAACGTCCTTAAAGGATACGCAACTAACCTTATATACCTGACGTATCTTTCTTTACCAGGTTCATCACTGAATACAAGTGCACCAACACACAGATGGACGAAAGGATCATTCAGGACAGCCAACTTTCTTTCCCGTCGGGCCACGCTTCCATGTCAATGTTTAGCGCCCTGTTTACTGTTGTAAGTTGCTTCTCTTTAATATACTTGCAATGTTTTGCGCCCTGTTTACTGTTGTAAGTTGCTTCTATTTAATATACTTGCAATGTTTTGCGCCCTGTTTACTGTTGTAAGTTGCTTCTATTTAATATACTTTCAATGTTTTGCGCCCTGTTTACTGTTGTCACTTGCTTCTCTTTAATATAGACAGGTTCACTGTATAGCGCCATGTTTACTAATGTATGTCGCTTCTCTTTAGTCTAAATAGTTTAATTTCTTGGCGTACTGTTTACTTCGGTAGGTCGCTTCTATTTGATATAAAATAGTATTAGTGTTCTGCGCCCTGTTTATAGTTGTATCTATATCTCTATAATATAGATAGTGTCAGATTTTGGCGCCCTGTTTGCTGTTGTATGTCGCTTCTCTTTAATATAAATAGTGCCAATGTTTGTTGCTCTGTTTATAGTTGTAAGTCACTTCTCTAAAATATAGATAGTGTCAGATTTTGGCGCGCTGTTTACTGTTTTAAGTCGCTTCTCTTTAATATAGACAGGTTCAAAGTGTGCCACCTTGTTTTACTTACACCATCGCCATCTTGTTCTAATAGTTTTACTTACACCATCACCATCTTGTTCCCACAGTTTTACTCACACCATTGCCATTTTGTTCCCACAGTTTAACTTTCACCATCGCCCACCTGTTCGCACAGTTTTACTTTTACCATCGCTATCTTGTTCTCACAGTTTTACTTACATCATCGTCATCTTGTTCCCACAATTTTTTTTTTACCATTGCCATCTTGTTCCCACAGTTTTACTTTTAATATCGCCATCTTGTTCCCACAGTTTAACTTACATCATAGCCCACTTGTTCCCACAGTTTTACTTTTACCATCGCCATCTTGTTCCCACAGTTTTACTTACATCATTGCCATCTTGTTCCCATAGTTTTACTTTTACCATCGATATCTTGTTCCCACAGTTTTACTTACATTATCGCTATCTTGTTCCCACAGTTTTACTTTTATCATCGCCATCCTGTTCCCACACTTGAATACACTGTGTCATCTTGTTCCCATAGTTTTACTTACATTATCGCCATTTGTTCCCACAGTTGTACTCACACCATCGCCATCTTGTTCCCACAGTTTTACTTACATCATCGCCATCTAGTTCCCACCGTTTTACTTACATTATCGCCACCTTGTTCCCACAGTTTTACTTACATTATCGCCATCTTGTTCCCACAGTTTTACTTACATCATCGCCATCTTGTTCCTACAGTTTTACTTACAAATGAGGCTGGAGGTGAAATTCTCACTGTTCTTGCGACCCACGCTACAGATGGCCTTGATTTTGATGGCGGTGTTTTGTTGTGTTACCCGGGTAACAGACTATAAACACTTTATTTCTGACGTCATAGCCGGCTGTGTGATTGGGATCTGTTTGGCTTGGACAATGGTAAGGTGGCGGCTGTGATCTGTGTGTGTCAGTGTGTTTGCGCGTGTTTGTGTGTTTGTGTGTGCGTCTGTGTGTGTGTTTGTATGAGAGAGAGAGAGAGAGAGAGAGAGAGAGAGAGAGAGAGAGAGAGAGAGAAAGAGAGAGAGAGATTAATGGGATGTCTCGTTATCAGCTCAAGATATCAATGCTATGTCCCGTTTTCAGCTCAAGATATCAATGCTATGTCCCGTTTTCAGCTCAAGATTTTCATGTGATGTCATGTTTTCAGCTCAAGATATTATAGTCGCCCTAGTTAAACCCTGAAGTTATATTGACAAGAAAAATTGGATGCATATGCCTAAATCAGGCTTGAAGGAGCCATGTGTTGCAGAACGGATCCCTTCATTCCGTGTTCTTTCTTCTAGGCAGCTACACGAAAAATTGATCCTCTTTTGATTGCAGAAATCTTTTTCTGGATGCCAGGCTAACAGAACAAATCCTATCCCATTAAACCGCAAAAGAAGTTATAAATCAAGCACCCGTAACGGCTACATTAGTCTTGTTTAGCTTGCGGTCCTTTGTGGCTAAGGATTCAATGGCTAATATAAACGTTAGTCAAGTTTTTGATTAAATAACCTCATATCGTCCCCCGGGGAAGATCAAGATCAAGGCCACGTAGAACCACTAGAAGGTTCAACCATGGACCTAACAAACATTCAAGACTTATTAGGTGGCAACGAACCAACAGACATGAAGAGCTATGACCTCTGTTCTATGCGCCGCACCAGGCTTGAGAGGAAAAACTAACTAATATCGTTATCTTCAATAAGCAGGTCAAATGCAGAACGTCGCTCTCTCAATAACACGCCTGTGAGTGTCCGTCTCTATCCACTTCTCATCATTATCAAGTTGAATTCGCCAAGCTCAGCCGCTACCTAGGGAGCTAGCCTCTCCTAGATAAAAGTAAAGGACCCTTTTCCACGCCTTTAGAGAGCATATAGGGCTAGACCTATGTTTTATAGACCAATCGACACAAGATGGGTGATGTGGTCAGCATCACGCCGGTCGCCTTTACGTCCCGGGACTGCATCCGGTACCCACTCGAGGATAGGTCGACCTGGGAACCAAAGTAATTTTTGAAAACAAAAGCCCGGCTCCACCAGGAAGTGAACCCACGACCTCCTGATCCACAGGCGAGCGTGTAGCCGCTCCACCACGGTGACTCCCCCCTTCCAAGATAGCATTAGTTATAATTTTGGCTCCTGCTCATGCTGTTATTTCATTGTTTCTTAGAGTTGATGGTTCTTCCTGACATGTCTGTCTTCTCCAGCCCGATGTGCTTTTATAGCCGTTGAATCATCAATGTCCTATGTCAACGTTCGCGGAGGCCGGCCTCTGTTTCGTTTTCGGGAAAGTCCGCCCTTTCATCCCGTCCTATCCAGGTCACAATGACACTTAACATTGCCAAAATAGCCCAGCTTCTCCAGACAGAATGCTGTTTATGAGCCAATTCTTCTCGATGTTCAGATCATGTAGCATGTCTGTGTTTTTCTAATTCTTTGTCCATTGATAATTTGTCTGTAGCGTTTATATACAAATATAACACACACCTTTCTATTTCATTTCAGTTTTATAAAATAGCATACGATGTGATCCCTAGCCAGTCATCACAGAAGTCTCCAGGTCTACCCAGGGCCACATCTATAGAATCGGAGCCACAAACACCCACACCTTTACTGAGACCAGAACGTTTGATCATCAGCCACAGCTATAGAAACAACTCGGGACCAGACGGCTTGCTCCACAAGTGACGACCACTTGTCCGTGACGACGTTCCGCTTGTGTCACTACGTTCTTCAATGTTTACTTAGTGTGATCTAGCGACATCCGCCCCAAAGGTTTTATTACAGACATAGATACATTTAGTTAGTCGTGTGTCCTTAACAGGACGTTGCAGAAACAGTTCTAGCGTTGTCTGTGATTTTGTTTGGCAGTTTTACGTTCATAAGTTTGTTGTTGCTTTCTAAATGGTCGGCTGTCCGTACCACTATCGAAACAAACGCAAGGCGGTCTGCTGCCACATTGCCTGCAGCTGGATCAAACCAAGCACTTCGGCATTACGAATTGCGTTCGTTAACCCTGAGCCACAGACGCCGACTAGGTGAGACATAAAGACTAAAGAAACTGTTTATTCCTGTAGGGCGGTGTCGGACAAGTCTTGTGGATAGAAGGCCCCGTGACCAAAGAAATCGCCGGGAACTGTGTAGGTTAGAGTTTTTAATTTTGCTCCTGTCAGAAAAAAATTATCTCCAATGCTTACCGAAAATCGAACCCAGGTCTTCTGCGCGAGAGCCCAGCAATCTAACCACTCGGCCAGCCACTGCTCCATAAACATGTTAGGCATCATTATTTAACGATACTACTGGGAATTACCCGTTTCTATCCAAGTACCGCATCGACCTAACATGTTGTGTTTTATTATTTATTTCCTGTTCGGTCTGGGTGTACGTAAGAAATCTGGCCAAATATTGTTAGTCCGGCTCATTATATGATGCTGCCTTGAAACTCATACACTGATGCCTTTTTCACTGAAGCCTGTAATTTGTGTAGACTAAGAAAATCGCAGTGAACTTTCAGACACAATCCCCCCCCCCACCCACTCCCCTTTTTTCTCTCTTGGAAATGAGCATATACCATCCGAAAAATACTTTAATGTTTAAATGAGAATGCACAACGTTCCCATAAACGCTCCATTCCTATGATCAGCAGCAAGTGCAGAGTTTCAATTTCATTGGTGCCAGTAGCTGTCTTACCTTTCCCTTGAGTGCGGATCGTAGATTAGATCCCCTGGTCATTTCTCGCTGTACACATTCTCTCTAGACCATGATGATTCATCCATGCTTCTGCACTGTTCACTCGTCCCCTTCCCCCTCCTCCCCAGGGCCCTTACAATATCTAGCCTGTCATGCATGAATTCACCACCAAATCGTGCACAACTAACCAGTCGATTTGCCTGTTCATTTTCTAATACACGGCATGTGCTGGAGAAAATATCCAAAGGACTCTGACTACCCGAGACCTCTAAGGCGATGCTTGCCACTCGTCACGGAGCATACAGGTCTCCACCTTTCTCCACAGGTTCTGTGAGTCGGTTAAAATTACGACATGTGTGTACAGCTGATTCTCAAATTAGAATACTTGTAAGCAACAGGTGACCAAAATTATTTGTTTTAATGATTGAGGAATTTGTTTCCCCGCACGATTTCAGCCTGAATGATCGAAAGGCATCAACTCTGAGATCCATTGTTTGAATAAGAATCTAGCAGAGCCAAATCCGAGGGACCCTGTTCAAACAAGTAAAACCGTCACATTGAGGCAACTATAAGTTCAAATAAACCAGGTGTCAAAAGTTAGTGAGTGTTCTTGACCAGAGTTTCCCATTTGGGTGTCCTGGGATCGCTAGGGGCTGGAGGAACAAATGTAAGGGGTCCGTGATAGCTTTTACTACCTTCAGCAAGATATCAGCATCCTGTAGCAGGTCCTTTGCAGAACGTTGCTCTCATCACAGTCTGCCTGAAAGAAACTCGGTCTCTCGCCAGCTGTCCCGCCTTATAAACTTTCATACTCAAGGAGTCACTTATATCCTATGCCCGTCTTCGTGTTGGTCGGCCCCTGCCCCTCCTTCTTGGTACCATGCCTTCTGCTATAATTTTTTCTAATCCGTCGTGACGCTTGATAGGACCAAAATATTTCAGCTTCTGAGACAGGATGCTGTTTATTAGCCAATCTTCCTTGATGTTCAGATCTTTCAAGATGTCAGTATTTATCCTCTTCTTTGTCCAAGATATTCTGAGAATCTTTCCGTAACATTTCAGCTCAAATGCCCCTATTCTCTTTCTTAAGGACTGGGAGATAGTCCACAACTCACACCCATGTGTTGCTCAACAAGATATGGCACTCTAAAATGTAATGTTGTAGAACCAAGTTAAGTATTTTCAGTGTTAATTTTATTTCAGTTTTAACATATGCCATTGAAAGTTAGGAAAACTCTAGAAGCATGGAATGAAAGCCGAATGCATTTGAAAACAAATGCCTGAGTTATATGTTCAACATAAAATAGGATGAAGGAAAAAGAGAAATGTCTGGGCAACCACTAGTATCAACAGTTATAAGACAGAGAAGATGGCTCTATATTGGATACATCCTGAGAAGAAACCAGCAAAGAATACAAAACAAGTACTTAAAATAGGAAATAAAGGAACTGAAGAAGTGGGGATGTCCAAACGAAATCCAGAAACGAAAGTTGATGAAAGGGACCAAAGGTGCTGAGCTGGATACCATCCAAGGTATACTGAACTAATGATGAAAGGGAATGGAGGAATAGAGTGTCAACTCTATGTGACAGACAATGCCACAACTGGATAATGGGGGAAAAAAACTGATATAACTTTTAACACCTTGAACAAAGGATACAATCCTTTTTTGCGGTTGTAATATTTCTGTATTTTTTTTTAAATTTATTTATTATTATTATCATTTTAATACGACTAATTGGGGGGAAAAAAAAAAAGTAGAAGTCCGTGACAAGCCATCCTTGGATATCATCTAAATGGGGACTACTTTTCTAGACTTGATCCGAGATGAATGTATTAAATGCTCGTTTTGGCTGCGTTACTCTGCCACTATTCACAACGGAAATGCTTCACCCTCCGCTTTAACGCAGTAAATACAAAACCAAAGTAAAAGTGTCGTTTGGTCTTTAAAACATAGGTCTAGCCCAATATTTCACCCAATACGCCTAAAGACGTGGTCTAGCCCAATATTTCACCCAATACACCTAGATACGTGGTCTAGCCCCATATCTAACACAAAACGCCTAAAGACGTGGTCTAGCCCTATATTTCACCCAATACGCCTAAAGACGTGGTCTAGCCCTATATTTAACCCAATACGCCTAAAGACGTGGTCTAGCCCAATATTTCACCCAATACGCCTAAAGACGTGGTCTAGCCCAATATTTAACCCAATACGCCTAAAGACGTGGTCTAGCCCAATATTTCACCCAATACGCCTAAAGACGTGGTCTAGCCCAATATTTCACCCAATACGCCTAAAGACGTGGTCTAGTCCAATATTTAACCCAATACGCCCAAAGACGTGGTCTAGCCCAATATTTCACCCAATACGCCCAAAGACGTGGTATAGCCCAATATTTCACCCAATACGCCTAAAGACGTGGTCTAGCCCAATATTTAACCCAATACGCCTAAAGACGTGGTCTAGCCCAATATTTCACCCAATACGCCTAAAGACGTGGTCTAGCCCAATATTTCACCCAATACGCCTAAAGACGTGGTCTAGCCCAATATTTCACCCAATACGCCTAAAGACGTGGTCTAGCCCAATATTTCACCCAATACGCCCAAAGACGTGGTCTAGCCCTATATTTCACCCAATACGCCTAAAGACGTGGTCTAGCCCTATATTTAACCCAATACGCCTAAAGACGTGGTCTAGCCCAATATTTCACCCAATACGCCTAAAGACGTGGTCTAGCCCAATATTTAACCCAATACGCCTAAAGACGTGGTCTAGCCCAATATTTCACCCAATACGCCTAAAGACGTGGTCTAGCCCAATATTTCACCCAATACGCCTAAAGACGTGGTCTAGTCCAATATTTAACCCAATACGCCCAAAGACGTGGTCTAGCCCAATATTTCACCCAATACGCCTAAAGACGTGGTCTAGCCCAATATTTCACCCAATACGCCTAAAGACGTGGTCTAGCCCAATATTTCACCCAATACGCCTAAAGACGTGGTCTAGCCCAATATTTCACCCAATACGCCCAAAGACGTGGAAAAGTGTCCTTACTTCAAAAAGGGGATTTAACTAAGTACAATCCTTAAATTGCTGTTCACGAAGGGTTGCTCGCCGTGCCATTGAAACAATGTAAAACTGAAGCTTAACATTGAACTTTTCAGTTTAATGCTATGCATCATGTGTGTCTGTCATGTGTGAATGCATTTCATTTTCCTTGTATATGAATAAATGAACTACTTAATTAAAAATACTTTTTTTTAATGAATCGATGAAGTTACTTAAATAAACATATGACGCTTAACATTGAACTTTTCAGTTTAATGCTCTGCATCATGTGTGTCTATCATGGGTGAATGCATTAAATATTCATTCGATATGAATGATTGAACTACTTAATAAAAAAAAAATCCTTTTTTTTTAATTGAATGGATAAAGTTACTTCAATAAACATATGAAAGGATTAGCTACTTTATTAAATATATGTCTGTTGTGAATAGTTAAAATACTTAATTATACACACATGCATGAGCTGTCATAAATGTATGAAATATTTAAATGGATGCTGGGTCGATGGATAACTGCAGAAATGTCTTTTGTGAAGGAAATAAATGAATGTTTATAACGAACGGTTGTAAGCCTGCCATGAGTGAGCTAATCACACACTTTGAAATGAAATTTACAAATACGTACATTTACCCTCTTTTTTCTCCTCTTCCCTCTCTCTCTCTCTCTCTCTCTCTCTCTCTCTCTCTCTCTCTCTCTCTCTCTCTCTCTCTCTCCCTCTCTCTCTCTCTCTCTCTCCTCTCTCTCCCTCTCTCTCTCTCTCTCTCTCTCTCTCTCTCTCTCCCTCTCTCTCTCTCTCTCTCTCTCTCTCTCTCTCTCTCTCTCTCTCCCTCTCTCTCTCTCTCTCTCTCTCTCTCTCTCTCCTCTCTCTCTCTCTCTCTCTCTCTCTCTCTGAAGATAGTATCAAGCACAGAGCACACAC